TGCCGAAAGGTGAAGACTGTTCGATTCTTTGAAGAAGTCATCGACTCACCACCATAAAACTGTCCTAAACTTTCGTCTGCAATGTGACAAACATCATGAGAGCAAAATTCATACTTTACGAAATAGAGCAAAATATACCAAGTCAAGAGAAAAGGTGACCAGCTGCAACTTATACACCAAGTCTACAGTCCGAGGCTGGAAATTATCATGCGTATTATATGTGCGTTTCTCTGGACCGTCCTGACAATAAGGCCATTTTGTGAAAACAAGTTCTATGCAACGGAAGGAGACAGCGACCGTACTAAAGGTTACTTCATCTTAATCCTCGTCCCTTTGATTAATAATCTACATGACTGCAGATGAGTGAAGTTAATTCCTGAATTCGAAGTGAATTCTGCTGTTTTCTTACATAGGTAAACCAACGTACGTCCCTCCAATGTTGACAAACTCTTCATGTCATGAAAGGTGTGATAGTTTTAGCTTGACTCGAGCCTAATCCAGTCTCTTTCCTTTGCCCAGTGGCTCTTCTTACTCTCCCTTTAAGTCTATCCTGCAACCATAAATAGTGCCTACTTAATTTCCTACACTTGTTCCACTATTCGGGATATTTGAGGCCAACTTACGAATCATTTCCACTCGCCTCCAAACATAATGAATGGTACTCCAACATCTATGTATTAAGGGATTCTGCGAAAACCAGTTTTCTACATAAAATGCTTGGGTCTTGCCCCGCGGGTGCATGTTGCAGTTAAGTCTCGAGACGCAAAGGCAAATCTCACCGATATTGATAACAGAGCCTAATGCTGCCAATATCTTGTGCCATTGATCTGTATCGTCCTTAAATTTAGCCTTGCATCATCATTTCATTTATACGGTCTGTCAAAGTACTAACGGCTAATGGCCTACTCACCGGTATTTGGCATGCGACGCGAGTATAAAAAGATAAATCCGGCTGGACAGTGATGGGTTTCTCGGAGCATACATCAAGAATACAGAGGTTGTAAAGTGGTGGCGATGGAGGTACTTGAACAAAGAACGGGTGGCTTACCGAGCTAAAATAATAGAAACAAAATACGGAAAAAAAATCCCAGAATATCTTTACGGGTTGCCATTCTGATTGAGGCAATCGATTGGAATGCTCGACAAGATTTTTCGATATAATATATTATTCAAAAACTCTGTCGTTATTTTAGCTGGTCAGTGGCTGAGAAGCGTCAGTGATAATTGGTAAGGGGACATGCATGAAATAGAATTTGATACAACAAAGTATACCTATTTACAGAAGCCTTTGGATCTGCGATATCGTTATCGATAGCCGAAATATCCAGTCATTAAGCGGCTGAAATGCAAGTTGGGAAAGATAAGCCCTAGCGTAAGAAGCACTTTGGTAGAACCTACTACCTCATCGTTATGGGTCAGCATAAACTAGAACAAAAGATTCCATTAAAGAGGGTAAGAATGTTTCAAGATTATAAAAGGAAGAAGAAATAACTGGTTATTGGTGAGTAGGCAACTTTTAGAAAACAAGGTTGGTAGTCCAGAAGATAATTACAAATAAATTGAGGGCCAGCTTTCCCGAAAATTGATATAAAATACACGCATAATCCATGCGGTTATGATTTTTGGAAGGTAACCTCTGAAGCAAAAAACAGATATTTACACACAGGGTGGACATCTTTGTTTTCTAAATAAAATCGTGTTGGTCTTCAAAAAAAATATATATGCTTATCGAAAAGCTTTGATCAGTGGCTATTCGTCTGCCAACCGGTATGAAGTGGTGATCATCTCTAACAATTCAGCTTTAATTTGAAGCATCTTCACCAACTGGCGAATCCTCACCAGCCCATCCAACCCAGATACCGTTCAATGATTGTATCCGGCCTGTGTCCGGATCAAGCCGACCTAGTTGCGACTTTCTATCTGGCGCCAAATAGCTCCAAGGCCGAATTTCACACTCATTGCCTTGTTGGTATGTTGCCATAGGGCATAACTCATTAGGTGATTTACAAAGAGAAGGGTCTTGAGAGAGGCAGGCATCCAATGGCCGACAGGCCTGTTGCCAAGGCGAGGTAGTTGATTCGAAAGGATTTGGGGCTGTTAGAAAATTGAGTAGATAACGCTTAGCTATTTTGAGTGTTGGAGTATCGAGTGTACGTCTTAATCGGTGTTGCATATGAGGAAGGTTGGAGTCGTCCAATGGGCTTGTTTTTTTATTAAATGAATTTACATTTTTGTGCGCCTCAGCTGACAGTGGAAATGAAAGCGAGGTCAAAGTTTTAGTGGATGGAAGGAGCAAAAAACGAGAAACTCCTTGACCAGTACCACCGGGGAAAATGGAGCGGACAAACCATAGACCAGCTCGCAAATGTGAAAAAGAAGTCCTTTTCTCATTTGCGGTCTCATTTAATTTATGAAGGCATCCCTCAAGTAGCTCGGGTGATATTGATATTCGGCGAGCCAGGAAACAATATTTATTAACGCTAAGGTTGATATCGAAAGAAGGAGAAGTGCCAGGCAGAATAGTCTCGCGGCCGGTCACCGGTGTCAAATCCTGCCAGAGAAAGAGGGGACATTCGTCGCCGAAGGGGCTGATAAAATGAAATTCAACTCGCTGAAGAGGCAGGCCATGATTTTTAGCAGTTTTTGTGGCAGTGAAGGCAGACTGGATTGGCAGATGAGGTGATAAGTACGCTTGCGAAGCTTGAAGCGTTTTAGCTGGGCCGGAAGAAGGTAATTTGGCACGGAAGTAGTAAAGCAAAGTGAGATCTGCAGAATCAAGTATCAACCTTGGATAGTTGCGGAAGATGAGGTCTTTGTTATCAAACTGGTCAGAAATCTAAATAAATAAGAGCGTTTCGAAAATAAAAGTCTTAAAACTAAATTATTACTACGGCAGATTAAATTTTATGAGATGTGTTCACCGGGTGATAGAGGGCTGGTAGATACACAGAGAAACTAGGTTTCGATGAATCTCCTGAGATAAAATTGTTGGGGGGACTTTAAATTCGTATAAAAGTGCATAAAAAAGAGATTCGTGATATTAGAAGACCTTAAGCTTCCACAAAATTTCACGTAGCCTCGCTTTCCAAAAGGTTATTTTCATCAAGAGCGGACTTTAGTTCCGAACTCGCCTAGGTTTCATCGGCACTCCCAGCGGGACTCAAACTCTGATAGCTAAGCGTACAATATCAACAGGTTAACTACTATGCCATACTGTCACGAATGCCCTCGGGTCATAGAGCAGATGCGAATTTCAAGGAAGGCCATGCGTTCTTTCATATCACATTCTGTGATGGGAATGTCGATGGAGCGAAGTTGTATTTGCTATATCAATCGACTAAATTACTTGTATTTCGTTTACAAGTAGGCCTTCGAGACTATCAGTAGCTAGCACATATGAGATTTATTCACAGTATTTCGATAATATGACTAAGGACTGGTAGTTGAATGTAGTAGGATTTAAGTCGATTAGTATAGCAAATACAACTTTGATTCATCAACAATCCTACCAGCAATGTGATGTGGGAAAATGCCTGACCTTCTTTAAAATTTACATCTGCTCTATGACCTAAGGCTATTCGTGGCAGTGTGGTGTAGTACTTATATGGTTTCAGCCTCGCTTGTGGTACTGGTGAGAACTAGGCGAGGCCAAATTTCCAGTCCACTCTGGATGAAAATAACCTTTTGGAAAGCAAAGCTAAGTCAATTTCACTGAAAACGTAAGATCAACCTATATAAATACGATAAAATTCAACTAGCAGTCCTTTATCACCTTATCGAAAGAGAGTGAATACATCTCATATATTGGATTGATTGATAGTCTCTAAAACTTATTTATAGACGAAAAATAGACAATATTTTGGCCTACAAGCCACTATAAAGGATAAATGAATGGAAATAGGCCAATAAATCTGATCCAATCAGATAAAAGGTGAATGCAAGTGAAAGTAATCATACTTAATTAACAAACGGCTATACAAAGAAATAAGCATGTCTATAGACAATTGTGGAAAAGATAATAACAATGTCAATACTCAGGATGCCTAGTATGGATCGACGCAACATAGTCCTGCAAACGAGCTCATGGTGGATAGTCCAAGGGAGGTATTTGCGTAAATAATCAAAAAATTAAGAAGATAATGGCGAAGATGATTTTACATTTTGGGCTTATACTAGTGTTCGTTATTTAATAGGCCCTAAAGTTATATCTGGATACTTCACATTTTCGACACTCCGAAAGTTGATTGAAGTCACGGATTCTCATCAAGGCCTATAAACTAGATTTTGTAACTGGCATCCGAGTAAAGTAATTTTATATCAAATTAATGAATTTGTCATTAAATTCCTTGGGACAGCAGCGGTAACAAATTTGGGACTATGATTATTACTTTGATGCAAGGAAAACAGTAACATAAGGTGCGCTGGTTAAAACTCTGATAAAACATACTCTTAATTTGCATATAAAATGGAAAGATCTTTAAGGTATAAGAAGAAAAAAATGATATACTTTACATAAATGAATCTCAGGACAATGCCAACGAGCAATATTAATGCCTTAAATAGTAAATGTGCCATATTAGGAGTCACTCCTATCACAAACATAAACTGAGAGAAGCGGGTATTGGTCTCAAAGTAACACATCTTGTGATTTGCAAGTGCTGTATGGTCATGACGAGAACTACGAGGGATGAAAATGAGACCTTGAAGACTAAAAATTTGAATATATTTTTTCGGCGAAAAAAAGATCATTGAAGTTCTATAAAAAAGTGAGGCATTTTCCTCAATTATTCGTGAGACAACCATCCATCAGGTTTTTCAATTATGGTGAAAATCTCTTCAAACAGAATTTGCTTTAGTTCCAAGGTCGTACTATCCCGCTTGGAGGGATAATAAAGCCCCAAAGGCTCATGATGAACAGCAATTGTGTATGAACTAAATACACTAGGCTAACCATCGAATATCATACATGGAGTGCAAGCTCATAGATCAGCCAATGAGAAAATAAGGAAAAGAGGGCAAATATCCCGTAAAGCTACATATTTCAAGGTATAAATGTTGTTTTAGTAAATCCAGAGCCTAAATGCAGAATGGATACATAAATCAAAATTAGTCCGTTATGAAAAGGAAAAAATAACATTAGAAGACAATTCAGTCACCTCAAAGTAGACTAACTCGTTCTCAGCAATCGCTGATAAAGGCTTCTCGTTTAACCAAGCGAGACGAGGAGGAGAGAATAACAACTCAATGATGGCGGTCCTATTTGACAAATATGAAGGACAGGCAGTACCTGTGGCTACGCTTTCGCTGTGACTGGGCGAATGGAGCTTTGTTGGCACTGGAAGCTGAAGTTGAAGCACAAGATCAGGGGGCTGGGAATGCCTCAACTGAGTCAAATAGGGCCAGATCTGAGTGGACGAAGCGGCCACATTGGATGAGAACTGGACAGCCAACTGGGCCTCAACATCGGTCACATTGAACAATGCAAAAGCGTTAATGAGAAGATCTTTTTCTCCGAATGCTGATAGAGAAAGATGAAGGAATATAGTGGTTTAGTGGTTTTAAAAACTTTAGATATATACTAGATGTAAAGAACATGATAGCTTGGTCTCTGCTTTGGTCGACCATGCCATGGCGACCTAGTTGGATGTACCATGCCCGAAGTCATCAGTTATAGTTGTCATAATTCCCAGCGTTGGAGCGTGGACTTGGCACATCCCAAGACGTAGTCGACATTGCCAGTCTTATCAAAAAGTGTGATGTCAATTTCTTGGCTAAATTTTTGTCGAATAGTTGTGCTATCACTCCTTCTATCCTGGTACATATATCTACTTCCTACCCTCTTATTTCACCCTTTGCTTACAGAAACTTGTGACTTGGTTATATTCTATTCCCTAAGAGGTATGTCCTTTTTTGGCGAGTTTAGGGCTGCGTTATTACACCTGCTAAAATGCCTTGCCCTCCTCGCCATCTTGACTTGCCGGAATCGCTGATCCGACTCGGGCCTCGGAGATTCACTTCTTATCTTACTTGGTTGACTGATTTCACTCGGTTCCAGTCAGAGCGCTCCAGGCGCTATTTATCGTGGTTTGCCACAATCCTTTGGTAACATACATACAGAGACCTCACTGAGCAGAGAGCTTAGGCTCTGATTCCAAAGCTTTCAGATACAATCCCTGAGCGAACTGTGAAAGTCCATCTATGGTCTCGAGTGGATGTCTAATCACTTTGGTTCATATCTACTAGCCATAATGCCGAATTCCCGATAGTTGTGAACAGCTATTTTCACATTCTTGTGACCACCAGGCCACAAAAATTGTAGGTGTTTTCTCGAGCAGACTAAACTCACGGAAACCGGCTTCTCTTGATTCCCCCACTACTTTCTTGCGATCCCTTTTTATCAGGTTAACGATAGGTCCTTGATCCAAGCATCTGCTTTTCGTTGCTCTTATGCTATCCTTATCTTGTA